TTTGTTTTAAAGACGCGATTAAAAGAATTTTCATAGACAAAGATCAAGAAGTGGATAAAAAGTCACAAGGAATTCCTGAGAGAAGGACTAATTCTCAAACATATTTTTCACAGACAAACTTACGAATTCAGGTTTTGAAGATCCACAGAAGTAGAAAGCAAAAATAATAGACAGTGAAAGTATTCGAATGGGATGGTCTCAAGGTAGAATAACAAAAGAAACAAAAGCCATTTTACAGGCAAATAGAGAAGGTCCTAACAAACGAAGTTGCTAAACATGACTATTTCCTCCTCAGCCTCTGGGCAGCTGAGTATATTCAAGAAACATGAAGGATCACCAATCATAGCATTATTTCATATGCAGCTACTGATTTGCTTAAATGCTCTACCAGCCAGCTCCTTTTAGCTAACACCAAATCACAGAATCACAGAAACAATTAGGTTGGAAAAGATCTCTGAGATCACCGAGAACAACCCATGACTGAACACCACTGTGTCAACTAGAGCACAGCACTGAGCATTACTTATCTCCAGAGACAGTGATGCCACCACCTCCACCGGCAGCCCATCCCAATGTCTGATCACCCTTCCTGCAAAGGAATTCCTCCTAACTCCCCTAGCTCAGCTTGAGGCTATTTCCTCTCATCCTGTCAAAAAGTTGCCGGGCAGCAGAGGCTGACCCCTACCTGCCTACACCCTCCTTTCAAGGCGTTGTAGAGATCGGTAAGGTCACCCCTGAGCTGCCTCATCTCCAGGCTGAACACCCCCAGCTCCTTCGGAGCTCCTTATCAGACTTGTGTTTCAGAGCCTTCACCACCTTTGTTATCCTTCTCCAGACTTGCTCCAGCACCTCAATGTCTGTCCTGAGGGGCCCAGAGCTGGACACAGGAGCTGAGATGTGGCCTCACCTGGACAGAGGAAGAATTCAGACTTCCAAACAGACAGATCCTGTGTGCAGCAGTAGATGGCAGCCATGTTCCACACAATAAACGAGAGCCCTCAGTTGAAGGAAAAAGAAAACCCAACTACACTGAAATTGCTGTTTTCCTAACACAACATAATTTTAATTTAAATAAAAGTGAAAGTTGCTTACTATGCAGTTTTAGGCTATCTTTATGCAGCTGTCACTTCTATACGCTCAGCTCACACCCGTACCCCTTGTTAGCATTAGAATAGATGGTTGAGATGCTTAATGCAGTATTTGCACCCTTTCCGTCCCAAGAGCTCTGCTCTGTTACAAACACATGTCCCTCATTTCCTCAGCTTGCTAGCTGACAGCCAGCTTAGGCATGAATTGAGCTGGTAAACATCACTGCTGTGTGCACAAATCCTTCCAAAACCTGTGCTGGTCAGCAGGAGCAATAATCAGAAAGGCTCTAGTCCAAGTATTTGAACAACTTATAAAAAGATATTTTCTACCAGAGAAAGTAGAATGTGAGCTATTTCCTCATGTGCAAGGGCAGGTAGCTTAAAGCACTGAAAATATTCAAGGACTGCAGTTAATTTTTTTCTGTCTTTTAACTATTGAACCATTCCCTAGGCTCCATGCCATCAAGATTTTCTTCTACAAGTGGACACTTATTGACTAACAGAAGCATAGAGATGTTTCCATCTGAAATCTCCATATCATCATAAAGCCAAATGTGTTGCAGCTTTAGAAAAAGCATTTAGAATCCCAAGGTTCATTTAAGATTGAAAAATTGGCAACATTAAAAATAAATAAAAGTAACCAAGGAGGTTGCAATAATGAATGCAAAGGGAAAAGGCTCCCCTCATATGGCATTTGGAAGGAAGAAGCAGTTAGCATGGAGGGTTTTCTGGAAGTTTAAAAGAATAAAAGAAGCAAGAGGAGGGAAAGACACTGGTGCAAATGAAGATTTAGACATGGAGATTTAGAAAGAAATGTGAGAATTATGGGGAGAGTATGAAGCAAGAACAGCACACAGTCTTCACCATGCTCACAAAAAAAGAGCTACAAGGACAATCCTGACTGGTGAAATATCCATCCCTGATGATGTATCCACATTGTTCTCTCAGGTTTTGCTGGCTGCCACCCATGTGCACCATGTTGCAATTTGGTAAGCAGATTCCCCATGTTATTACTGTTCAATGATCAGCTGCATCCTTACACAATGTCTACCAGTCTCTATTTGCCTCCCACCCCCCTCTCCTAATTGAGAGATTAAATATTGTTTTAAATGTTCAGTGTGACCATAAGTGCATCTTCTCTTAAAGACTGGCAACTGGATGCCTCAAAATACCACCTTCAGCCTATTTAACTTAAAAAGTTACTTCTCATTGTCAATAGTGATATACTTAGTCTAACTTTTTAGACAGATTTTAGAAACAATTTTTTAACCGTTTCTAGTGCTTGTGAGAGTTCTGGCCTAAAGGTTACAAAAATTGCATTAACTTAAATACAAAAATTTGAATGAGATATTAAAAGTATCTCCACATTTCTTGAAATTCTTTTGGGTATTTTTTAGAAACTCATAATTAAAGCATTCTGGACTCCTGAAAACTTTTTCCTGTTTCTCAGTGAAGAATTTACAACGAGTCTCCAATCTCTCACTCCTTTATGTTATTCTGTAGTTAAATAAGAGGGCCTTAAAGGATTAATGAAATTTTACATCCATTTTAAACCCAGTATTTGTGGAGATAGAGTTCAGATTATTCTATGAATTCCATCCACATTACCGTAAACAAATTCAAAATGCAGATTAATCTAAAATAATTTTTCTCCTACTGGACATGAATGGCCACAATACATGAAAAATATAAATTGGACACAGTTATGTTTAGATTTAATCTCTATGAATCAGGGTACATTTGAATTGTCTTTTTTGGTCTTGGACTGTGTTTACACTAGTTGGGTCAGCTAAGTCAAGCATGTGGTATTTGTCGTGTGCTGTTTGTAACTAATCAAAAATTGCATTTATGTTTGCAACTACTAAAGTTGGCAAACTCTTGGATGTTAAAATTATAATTATGGTTAATACCAGAGGTAAATGACTTATAGCTTTAGAAATATATAACAAAGAGAAGCTTGTTATTTCAACAAGTCTACAGCCAACTGCTTGTTCCAAGTTTTTGTCTGTTTTGTCTCTGAAAAAAAAGAGCTGGAACAGGATGGTACTGAATCATGATTATATACAAACCATCTGGTGTTAAAGATGTTAATTTCACAGCCCTTGATAAACAAGTGAACAAGGTAAGAGTACTTCTGATAACAAATGGAATGTTACTCCAGTTTATAAAAAGTCCTTAGAATTATCTCCTAATCAAACATGAAAACACAAGAGCTCCTATTGCCTGATTGTTTGCTTCAAAGAACAGATTAAAAGATATATTTTCACTTCATAAAAGCATCAGTAATTTGCATTTGTTATTCAACAGCATTTCGATTTTTTTCCCAGTTTAGCAGTCAGCCTCACACACAGCCAAATCAGTAGAAAAACTACCTTGTATTTGGAATAGACATGGTGCTAATAACGAAGCAAACTTCACAAGTCAGTAATGCTAAGTGGAATAGCATGCTTCTTCCGTCTCCTTTCAGTCCATGACTTCCTTTTGCACTTGACAAACACGGGCTGTTCTCGAGAACAACAGAGACATATTGTTCTTGCTTCCTGTAAGGTGATGTAAGTGCAATGCTGAATGGATTAACACCAATTCTGCATTTTGTGTAAAACACCAAAATTTAGAAAAACACTTGTGCCATTCAGACTGTAGCAAGAAACAATAACCTACCGTATCTGGCAGATGAGCAAATATTAACTTTTCCCTGTAAATTAGTCTTTAGTTTGCTTGTCATCTTCCCACCCCATTTACCGATTTCTTATCAGCAGAAGCAAATGCCAAGCATATCTTGTTGGAAAAGGGGACTGCTCAACACAAAAGCAAACAGAGCTACTGAAGCTACTGCAGTGAGTAATTTTTCTAATTATTCCAGAACTGATCCTCTGTCTACAGAAGTAATGGAAAACAATGATACAGTAGGAGGCTTAGTGCCAACAAGTGGATTAGTCTTAACATCAATTTTAACAGGATGGGACCTATTGATACAACATATAAACAAAGCTAATAAATGCTATTTTTCCTTCTCTCTTGTACCTGTTCAATTAAAGCCCTTTTAAAAAAAAAAGACATTTAATAAATCATCCACTTTCATAATATTTATATCCAAAAACAGACTGCAGAAGTCTCAACATTATTTCTTTTTCCAATCCATTTTGAATTCCCCAGATGTTCACTCTTGGACTGTAAATAATCTTTTTTTCATATGATGTATTATTTCAAATGCCAAAGGATCTTTTCCTCTACTGGGTGCTACACCACACAAAGCTAGCACAGGTTTTGGATATATGCTAGTTATTCCTACTAGTTTCCTTCTTCGTGAAGTAATGTTTTTGGTAATTATCAAGCTTTTAAGTATTCTTGACAAGTAAATTGTAGGTGAATGCAAAAAACCGACATATTTAGTCAACATACAGAGGTAGTTTTCCAGTTTCTGAGTGCAGCACTTGCAAAGCGTCAGGCTGGTCCTGCTCAACGCAGCCAGCCATAAACCCTTCAGTGAACTTGAAGCCGTTTGGGAGCACAGAGCGAGGCAGGTTCAGGCGGCGGATAATAGTAGACAGCAAAGGCTAATGATTACTCAGTCCTGCCACTGCCCTCAACTCACTCTGCAAACACTCAAAGCATTTACTCCTGACAAGCTAGTTAGAACGTGCGTGCCATTAAAAACAAACAAGAAAAACAGTAAATGATAAAATCTCTTTAGCAGGACCAGGTTCAGCGCACACGAAGGAAAGCAGCAAATGATAAAATCTCTTTAGTAGGACCAGGTTCAGCGCACATGAAGGACCTGGCTTCTTGCAAACCTCAAGCCCCTCTAAAGGCTGCAGGGCGAGGCAGGGCCCCTGTAGTTTTAGCGGCGAGGAGACGCAGCCTGACCCCGTAGGTTTGAAGCGCGACCGTGGGCTCGTGTTAGGGGGGAGGATGTTACGAAATAAAGCCCCAGAGGAGGCGGCAGGGAAGGGCCGCCCTCGGTGCTCTCCAACAGCCGGTACTGCCGTCCCCTCCCGGGGCGCCCCGAGGCACGGGGCGGGGGCAGGCCGGGACTTCCCAAGGGGAGCGGAGGCCTTCCAGGCGGACAAACCCGTGAGGACACGACGTGACCCCCTTTCTCTGAGAGCTCCCACTCGGGACGGAACAGCGAGCAGGGGGGCGGAAAAGGTTATTTCTGCCCGGAGGCGGGGCCGGAGGAGGTGCCCGGTGGTGGGGCCGCCCCAGCCCGCGCTGCCAGTGGATCCGCAGCTGTGGCTCGGCAAGAGCTGGGGCGCCGGAGAGCGATCCTACAAGTGGTTCCTCTCTGCGGCCGAGGAATTTCGCCCACGGAGTGAAGCGGCCGGAGGAAGAGTGGGGAGTCGGGGGTGGCAGGAGAAGGACGCCGGGCTGCCGGGGGTCGGTGCGCCGGGCAGTCCCTGCAGGTGCGGGGGAGAAGGGCGCGTCATGGTGCTGGTGGCAGGCAGGGAGGGAGGCTGTGCTCGTCTCCCCGTCTCTGTCAGCCTTCGCTAGCGCCCGAGTGGGAATCCCTCGCTTCAGCCCGGCCGCCTCTCCCCTCCAGCAGCTCAGCGGGACCGCTCCGGGGCGGGCGGCGCAGTATGGCATCCGCCTAACCCCAGCCAGCGCAACAGAGCCCGGGGCTACTCCTTTGCCGCCGGGATGAGCGACAGCAGCGAGGGGATCGTCAGCCTGCCGGTGCCCGGCCCGCCCGGCGGCGGGACCCCCTGCGAGGAGGTACTGGGCAGGAGAGCGCCCGGGGCCGACACCGGCGCCCGCAGCCTCCCGCCCGACTTGGCTGCGCCGCCGCCCGCCGCTCTCTGGGCTGAGGACGCCGCCGCCGCCTCCTGCCCGAGCACCGCGGCGCGGGCCAAGGGTGGCGGCCGCCGGACCGCGGTCACCTACGTGATCAACGAGGCGAGCCAGGGGCCGCTGCTGGCGGCGGAGAGCGGCGCCCTGCAGAGCCTGCGGGAGGCGTGCGAGGCGGTGGGCGCCGCGCTGGAGACCCTGCACTTCGGCAAGCTGGACTTCGGCGAGACGGCGGTGCTGGACCGCTTCTACAACGCAGGTGAGAAGGGCTGCCCGGCCGGGGCTGATCATCACTCCGCGGGACCGGCTCGGCCGGGGCTCGCCGTCACCGCTCCGGGTTCACCGCGGGGCGGCGGGAGCAGCTCCGGCCGCCGGCTCCTCCGGGCGCCGAGCCCCGGTGTCCCCGGCTGCAGTGACAGCAGACGCGGCGGGAGCGTGGGGAGGTAAAAGTGTGCCAGAGACCGCTTTTGTCTCCCGCGCTAATGAAGAAGAAACTCTTATGTCAGCAAGCGTGCTGTGAATCAGCGCTTGTGACTGCTACCAGCGGGTTAAACGTTCCCTGGCTGTTTTCTCTCGGGGTCCTGAGTGCAGGGATGCAAATTTGTAGTAGTACGATGGGTGCGGGCTGAAACAGACAGGAGCTGCGAGGCCACGGGAGCTTCGAAAAGCAGATTTGACACCAGGCGCGTAGGGACAATTTCCTAGTGCTGACGCTGTATCTGGGATGCTGCAGGTGTTTGTGGTTGAAAGTTTGTTTTTTTGATATTGGTTGCATAAAATAAACACGATTGATGCGCTTGGACAAAGAGCACACCGGCCGAGTTAATTGGCAAGAGTACCCAGGGCTGCATCCTCTCAGCCCAGTTTGCCAGCTGTGTGGCGATAAAAGTACAGTACCTTCATTTGAAGGTGTGATGGCCTGAGGTTTTGTTATGATGGCCCCGTTTGTAAAAATAATAACTAAAACTCTCCCCCATCTATTTATCTTACTGACAGATAAATAGTGTGAATGTAGAATAAAAAATACCCCTGCTTGCTAGATTTTCAAGGGCTTCATACAAGTAAGGTTATAGTACTGAATTAATGGCTTTTTGCTTTAAAAAAATATCAGAAGCAGGGAATTGACCTGACCTGCAATTTTAAGCTTATTGTAAGCTTTGGTGTAGAAGTTTTTGTAGTTTTATTGTAGGCTTTGCCTTATAGGAAATGCATGCTAAAAAGAAGCATTTAACAAGTTTTGTCAGATACTGTAGTTTCCTCCTCTCCTGGGGAAGGGTGAAGAAAAAAGGAAAGAAAACCCAAACAAACAAAAACCTCTACTGTGAACAGTTCTCACAAAAGGCTGTTCAGCACAGGCATGCAAATGCCTGTCACCTCTTTGAAACTTCGCAGGCTTTGCCTCATGGACTGCTGTTTTCAGTTCAGTGAGGTGGGCGATTCTTAAGCTCTGCATTCACAGCTTATTCCTTTTGCCCCATGCAGAGCCATTTCCTTAAAAGTAACAATTTTCGGAAGTCAGAGGAGCTGTTCTCACAGGTGGAAATAGGAAGGCCATAAAGTTTAATTATAGACCTTATAGTCTCTGCATTTAACTCGGGGAGATTTCAAGCACCCTGACATCTCTTCATTCCAGGGCAGGTGAAATCTGATAGTCTCTTTTGGTTGTGTTGTGGAAGCTGTCGCATAGTGAGGCTCAGGAAGTTGAATTATCCCTGATGTTTTTATGCCGCTTACCCTGGTTAATTTTTAGACTCTGAGCTGTTCAACAGGCGGGTCTTGATAGTTCATGGACGCTTTTCTTGTAATGGGAGATTTGACTTGAAGTGGGCCTCTTTTAATTCTGGCAGTAGGCGTCCGGTTTATAGTGCTACATATCTGCATGCTTATGTAATATAATTTGCTTATTTCAGTGGCTTTTCAGCAAACTGTAAATGTGAGAACGTTACTCTTTTTTTTTTTTTTTTTTTTTTTTTTTGTCCTGTTTGGCTGGAATTTAATGGAACTGTTGCAAACCAGAAAAAGTACTTTGTAATTCTGCTTTAGTAGTAAAGTCCAGAAACATTTAAAGAACTAGGACAGTTGATCACCTCCAGTGCCTGAACTGAAGAGATCTAGATGTAGAAGTTTGCATCTGCTCCACTTGTACTCTGTACTGTCTGAGCTGACCAGTGATAAGCCAGCTGCAATCTCAAAAACAGTTTTATGTTGCTTATCTTGGGTCTAGTGGGACCTGTCGATTTTTCACACTCGTTTCTTTATCCTTGGTGCACTTTCTACAGTCTTACTGTTTTTAGGAATTAGTTGTTTTCCAGGAGCTATAAGAGTGAAAAAAATCTCTCTCTGTTTGGGAACAACATTAAAGAGTAGAGGCTGTGTAGCAGAGGAATACAAATGGGGAACAGAGTGGGGAACAAAACCGAAATGGCCATGGAGGGTGTAGCTTTCGCACAGATATTTTTTTAACTGCTTTAACAGGGTGGTGGGACTGAGCATTTTTAAGTGACCTAAACTCCATCTCTCTTACCCTTCTTGTCCTTCTTTGCTGTGTGCTTTCAGTGATCAAAGGTGATATTAGTGATATTAATTATAAGGAATATCTGTACACTATATTTTTTAAAAATAGTGTATGAAAGTAGCACAGCATGACTAAATATGAAATAAAAATTCAGCAGTGAAAGTGCTTTCAAATTACATGATAGTTACATGGTCATAATCAGGGTGTGAAGTCCTCCTGGATTCATTGTAAAGGCCAGCTAAGTTACCAGAGTAAGGAATGATGTGATTTCAGGAAGGTTTGGAAAATCAAACTTATAACTGTGTTTGTGTGAAACAAAGCAAAACATTAAACCGCTCAACTCTTGTAATGCATGTAAATTAACTGTGATTTATGAGGATAGACCTACAGCGTAGCATACCTGTACATCATTAAGGCTTCCCTTTTTAGTGTCTTACTTTTTGCTTTGTATAACGTAGTATGAAGTCTTGGTGATTTTTGATGTATGTTTTCTTCATGCCTTTCACTGCTTCAAAGAGAACTTGAAGGAGTATTAATTAAAATATCTTAGATGAAAATACTCATAATCCGCTCTAAATGTAGATTAGCCTACTAATAATCTCCTGCCAGCTTTAGTCAACTATGGCCCTTAAATGCTGAGACATAATTAGCACTGCATGTTTAGTGAGTAGGTGTCAGCTATGTATAATTGAACCATGCATGCACCAAATATTAAGAATGAGCCTAGTCTAGCATTTCTGATTGCATGGCTTAAATTCCACTTGATTTCAACAAAAAAATAATTTTTTCCTAAAAAGCAAATGAGCCCTGGAAACTGCTGTAGAAGTGTCTGACAAAAACGGAGACTTCAGTATTAATCACATTTTCTTCTGTTTAAAGAGGAAGGTGAAGAGAGGAAAATGTAGTTCAATTTCTTGCAAAACTTGATGTATCTGGATTTAATCAGCTGTCTTAAGGGCTCTTTTCCTTTATAAAGAGGATAGCTAGAGTTTTTTATTGTTGTTATTTGTTTTTTGGTTTGTGGTGGGGTGGTGGTTTTTTTTGTCTGTTTTTTTTGTCTCCAGTAATTTTAAGCTGGTGCAGGTGAATTACAGATACCTCCTAAATTCAGCTTTGTTTCTAAACACTTCAGGAGCATTTTAAGAGTTGGGCAATTAGAGATGTGCCAAAATGTATCTGAGACACAATTCTACAGTGCAGTAGGTAATCATGGTATTTTAAAAGTCACTAAAGCCGTTGATATTTGTAATTAAATGGCATTTTCTCTAAATTTTAATGACTAGATCTACATATTCTGTTGATTTTTCTTTAATTGCTCAGTTTCTTTTGGAAACAGCCATAAACAAGTGTCAAGTACTTAGAGTTTGTTTGGCTTAGGTAAGCATTCTTTTTTTTTTTTCCTTTTTTTTTTTTTTTTTGGCAATTGAAATTAGAATGATTTTATTTCCAGCAGATCTTTACATTGTCACTTTGTATTACATAAGTGGATCAATTACTGGCTGAGCAGTGTTTGAGAGGTGCAAAATAGGTGAAAGTATGGTAAAAGGATAAAAAGTCGCATGAATCAATAATTTAAATGAAATCAGCTCTTCATGGGAGGGAGGTGCTCTAAGTCAAGGTAATTTCTTCACAAATGTTTTTAGAATTAAACAGGGTTGTGTATGGTAATTTTCTAGACGCATAATATTGGGCATTCTGACTTTTAAATACAGTCTCAGAGGAATTTGTGAAAGATCAGTTATTGAGGAGGATATGGGTTTTTTAATGTGTGCAGTCACTTGTTTTAGGTTTGTTCTCAAGATAAACAGCTTGACTGATGTGCTTTTCATATAAAACTGTCTTTCTAACTTTAATGTTGTCTTATACTGGGGAATTTCAATTTCATAAGCTTCTTAGCCCAAGTTTCATCCATCAATGGCCTTGAGGATAGATAGCATTTTCTACTAACACCATTGTGTGAGGCTATTGAGATAATTCTCCAGAACAGCAATGATCAATGAAAATACAGTTCATCAAATAAGAGATGATAAAATAGGTTTAATATGTTATCTTTATTTCTGGTATTCAGCATTCTTTCTTTCAGAATTCATGCAGTCTTGGGCTTGAGATTGGCATGTTGGCTCACTGGGCTTATAAACATAGAGTGCAACTTTCTTGGGAAGACTCTTGATACAAAAAATGACAAAAAGTTCACTTCTATGAAGGTGAACTTTACTTCAAAGATGTTCTACACTTAAGTTGTTTCTGCAGATTCTACAGAACATTTGTGGATTAGAAACATTTACAGGCACACAGAAATGCTGTAAAAGCAGTGCCAGGGCTCAACAGCATTCTTGTGGTTTCTTCCTCTAAATATGATACATTCTAGGATGCTATTTTTTTCAAGTGAGTTATGCCTTTTATATAAGTTTCCTGAAGTTCATGATTGTGACACGCTAACGCAGACTTTCACCTTAAACCCAAAGGAGGTCATATTTTATTCAAAACTGATGTTCTCGTTTCTAGAAGTTGATGTTAATATTTTCTGTGGTAAAAACCATCATGTATCCTACCATACTAGCTGTTTGTAGAAAAAAAAAATCACTAGCAGAGAAAGTAATCACAAGCTTTATTCTATTCTACATTGTCTCTCAGAACAATTAGGTGTTTTTCACCGCCTTTTTCTCGATGCCTCCTGATTAATATTTTTAGTTTCACTGACAGAGTTTTGTCAGACACTTGAAATACTGCACATACTTTCTGTGATTATGCAACACTTATATTCACATCTTATTTTGCTTCTTTTTGACACCCCCCTCCCCCCATTCCCCAGGTGCTGCTGTACCCCCACTACTGTTTCTATAGCATCATGACTGGAGAATCAAATTATAGTTCTTATTAGTGAGCAGGTAATATTATCATGATACATTATTCTTGTCTGATTTCAGAGTCC